CACTGCTCTATACTGTAGAAGACCAGACAGGACTGTAGTGCACCAACACTGCTCTGTTCTGGAAGTGACTGGACTGAACTGTCAGCAGTGCACCTCTGGGTGAGTGACTGGTCTGGACTGCTGTCCTGCTGTCCTGACGCAGCGACGAGACGTTCCGTACTGTCCCAGCAGCTGTGTGGCCGGGCCCGTGCCGCAGAGTCACTGTTCCTCTCTCCCCCAGCTGCTGTGCGGACAGGAGGAGTGCGTGCAGTGCCTGCTGGAGCAGGAGGCGGCCGTGTGTGTGGGGGACGCTGCCGGACGAACCCCCTTGCACCTGGCAGCCGCTGGGGGACACGCTTCCTGCCTGAACGAACTGCTGAACATCGCTCTGTCTGAGGGCTCGCCCCCTTTCCGAGACAACAGGGGCTACACCCCACTGCACTGGGCCTGCTACAGCGGTACTGCACTGAACACACTCTGAACACACGAGACACTGGCTTTACACTGGGTACAGCTGTACTGCACTGGACACACACTGAACACACTGATTCACTGGCTTTACACTGGGTACAGCTGTACTGCACTGGACACACACTGAACACACTGATACACTGGCTTTACACTGAGTACAGCTGTACTGCACTGAACACACTGACACACTGTCTTTATACTGGGTACAGCTGTACTACACTGGACACCCACTGAACAAACTGATACACTGGCTTTACACTGAGTACAGCTGTACTGCACTGAACACACTGACACACTGGACTACAGCAATACTGCACTGAACACACACTGATACACCGACTTACACTGGACACACAGCTACACAGACACAGTCTGACTGGTGTCCACATTTCCTCAGGTCATGAGAGCTGTGTCGAGGTGCTTCTGGAGCAGAAGGCCTGTCGTCGTTTCGAGGGGAACCCCTTCACCCCACTGCACTGTGCAGTGTGAGTGTCACTAACGCGACTTCGGCTGAATTCACTGCTGTTGTGCGATCCTGTAGCTACAGTATGAGTGTGTGTAGTGTACAGTCATGTTGTTGTGTGATCATGTAGCTATGAGTGTATGTTTGTAGTGTACAGTTGTGTTGTTGTGAGATCCAGTAGCTGTGAGTATCGCATTGTTTATATACAGCATATATGTGTGTTGGACCCTGTGCTCAGTGCTGTGCTGTGTTGACTGATACAGTAGCTGTGCTCTGTGTATAATACTGTACTGGGCATTGCTGCGTGTTCAGTGCTGTGTGCTGTGTGTATTATGGTACAGTACTGTACTGGACATTGCTGCGTGTTCAGCACTGTGTGCTGTGTGTATAATGGTACAGTAC